GCTTGTTATTTCTTCACGTCGTTTCATACAGATCGGCCGGGTGCGTTTTATCGGTATATTGCTCGTATGTCTGGGCGCATGGATTTGCGACCGATGTAGAAGAGATGTAATGGAGACTGAGATACACCAATACCACAGTTTATTCAGTCCGGGCTTAACTGAGATATTCGAGATCTTGGAACCCAGGTTGTGCATTCATGAGTATTCGTTCTGTTCCATGTGCGAGCGCCTTATAGAGCCATATTCAGGTTCCAAGACTCATTGACACACTGACTGTACCCCGAGAAGAATAGGCTTGAGGTTATTTCATAATCACATTGTTTCTGTCCCGTCCTTGATGTACTAAAGACTAACACGCTGTAAAGGGGCTTTCTTTTGCACGGCTCGAAGTGAAGGAAATCGTCTTTTATAAGAGAGTTCGACTTTGTCAATTCCTCCGTGAATCAAAAATGAGATCGATCCCAACGTTTGATAAGCAACATATGGATTTCTCAAGTGTTCTCCTGGAGTAGGATGACGGAGCCAGCAGCTTCGAAGGCTAGGGAATGGTGACCAAGGCCTGGGTAATTTCAAACAGCCGCCCCGTTGAGCAAAGGCAGACAGCATACAAGTCGATGAAGTCTGTTTCCAGGTCTCTTCCTCTTTGAGAAAGAGGCAACTTATGCGGAAATTCGCACCCGAGTGTTGGTATATTGCTCTACATCATCATGGCTGCTCGCTGTCGGTCTGTCCTTGGTTATCTTTCTCCTTTGAGGCCCGCGTCGTTGAACATACAGACCGCCATAACGTCGACCTTTTGGGGAATCTTTGGTCCGTAGCTATTATTCTATGTGCAAATTATAGTCCTTAAGTCTGCTTCGATGGGCTTTCCGTGCCTCGGAAATGAGGTCTTGTATGCGTGTTGGAATGACGACATTTCCTACCTATTTCCTATGATATGCTGAGTTCTGCTATTCGGGCGAATGGGAGCCATGAAAAGCATCAACATGACTTTTGCAATATGTTTCTTTGCCAGTTTATTCAGAAGTATTCGTATGGATAAGAATACTGGCATCGAATCCCAACTAAGCTCATCTAGATGGCAGCGCGGCACCACCTGAAAAGTTTCTTTTGATAGGCATGTTAAAGACGGTTAAACGTCATGGTCCAGATGATGGTCACTCTATCGGCACTGGAGCTCTCCCACGGGAGGTCATTGATAAATCAGCAAGTTGGTGATAAGGAAGTGGAAGGAGGTCGCCTTCGCTCAACCGTTTTGAGAGCCAATCCAAAAGCTTGGGATCTGCGCATCCCATCTGAGAGGTATGCTTTTTTTTCAGTGTTTTGACTCCGAGGATACCTGAGAGAGAGAATTTGCAATAGACCCAGTATCAAAAAGAAACAGAGAATGAGAATGAGAGAATAGAGAAGGGGGCAAGGCAACACAAAGCCATCTGTACGGTTGGGCTTCGGGGGTATTCGTCGATGAGATCTAGACCACGCAACAGGAAGTCCAGGCGATATCGATCAGATTCTGACTTCACGTAAGCTCCAGGACATTAATTATGAGCACGAGACAAGAATATCTACTCGTGTATTATCTATCTTGCGCCTTTGACAGGTCTAACCCATAAACCACGCACTTATTGTCGTGTTGAATAAATGCTACTCTGCAAAAAGCTTCTACTAAGATCTACGTTGGCTAGGGATCTTAACTCATTTCTTGACCGAAACAAATCTGCGTGCACTTACGATGACGCGCGGGAATTATGAAAGTCTTCACGCTCACGACATTCACATGGAACATGATTTTTATCTTAAACGTTGTATTTAAAGTCGCCAGATGCAAGCCATATTATGATTATATCATCCCCTCCAAATGCCTACGTCTTGATAGTTCCCACGATATGGCTGGGGTATGTTAAGGATAGTCGTCAAAGTGATAATTCCATCGCAATCCAACTTCTTGCTCTACGTTGTGTCAACGACGTTGGCAGACTCAAGAAGCAGGGAATCATCTATCTGCTAGTCGTCAAGCTTATTCCAACTTGGACTTGATCCAGTCCAAAGCGCGCTTGTAGGTGCCGTAGCCGGCGTAGCTCCCGTAGTTGGTAGGCTGGGGAGGGGGAGGAGGCGCGTTGCCGTAGTCGCCGTAGCTTGCGTACTTCTCGTAGGTGTACTTTCCGTAGTCGGCGTAGGCATCAACGGCAGCAGGGACGGGAGTAGGATCCGCGGGAGCGGGGGCCGGTGCGGCGAGGACGGCCGAGGCGGCAGTGAGCATGAGGATAGCGGTGACCTTCATTTTGATGATTTGAAGAAAGGATGTTGGATAGAGGAGTTTGAGCTTGTCTGGACGACCTTGACGACTGGTTCGTTAAAGAAGATGGAGAATGCTGATGCTGATGAGAGTAAGGTTAATCAGAGGGCGGACAGAGGGCTACTTATGGAAAATCTGAAAAGGCAGAGCAGGCTGGGGGGGTATGTCGTTGGTCCTGTAAGTTCTTTGCAGGTAAGCTTGAATGGAGATCACACATGGATTCAGCAATGGATCCAATGATGAGAAGGAATTCCGCTGAGAGGCCAACGCCCAACCTGGCAAAATTTCCACCGTTCCAGGGTCTCCAAGCTAAAGCAGAACGGCGACAAGGGATGCCACGAGAGGCGTATCTCGGCAGCCGAGGGGTATAGAGAGAGGGTTGCTGAATGCGGTGTTTGACGAATGGAGACATGCGAGCCGATGGACATGAGCGGCTAACTGGGCTTCGCATAGCGTCACAAATTGGGCCGAATGCATCCTGGAAAGGCTTGGAGAGCTTCGCGGTGTCTAGGAATCATTCAGCCATGTAGACGAGGTGTCATTCAACACCAGCATGCCGCTTGAGAGAGACGTTGAGTTGACCAGGGGATCGACATCGTGTTCTTTCGATACGATGGTGTCAGAGCTGCAGACGTGAAAGGCCCGAAAGGTTACATGCAACGGGAGACGTCAGCCAGGGCGAAGCAGTCTCGGTACGAACCCTCCCTCCACGGACGTGGGATCTATATGAGAGTGTCAAATCTTGAGACGGGATGCTATATCGACTGTCTTGTTGCCTGGCCACAGGCTACCTTGGAGAAGCAGATTTGGCTGTGAAATCAGGTTTGAGCGAAGCCACGAGGTACCGGTGACTGACACCCGGTGTTGCCAAAGGTAGGACAGATGGTACCGTCCCTGTGGCTACCGGGCTGAGCCTTTAACTTGCGTGTACACATGGCAAATGTCGTGGGACTTGATCAAGCATGGATGCTAATCATGGAGTAGCCTCAACCCGTGTAAAAGAAAAATGACCTTGAGAGGAGAGGTTACTCAAACGGGAGCTTCTCCGGGCCAATCCCGGGATGGGGGATCAGCCCTACTAACGCGGAATTGGCTGCGGGAACATGGCGTTAGTGTTAGCGTCCATCCCAAGCCCAAGACCCCTGCAACTTTTGCCTTTTTGCAGCGGGAACACCGCTGGAGCTTGAACCTGGCAGAGCTGGCAAGCTGGGACAGCTGCATGTTTGACAGCAGAGATGTCTGCCGAGAGAAACAGCAACAGCTCGGCATGTCTCTGTATTCAACACCGTTACCATCGAAGCACCTCGTGGTGATCGGCAATTTTCTTCAAGTCTTCTTCCGCCAGGGATCCGAAGTCAGTGTCAGTCAGTCGAAATATCTTGGCGAGGGTGCCTCGTGCTCATCTTGGACATGAGATTTCCGGAATGCCCGGATTGGAGGTCGCTTGGGAGCGGCAGCATAGAGGCGGTAGAGTCTTTTACAGAGGCTATTTCGGGCGCCTCTGGCTAAGCCTAATCCTCGTAAACTCCGAATACCTAAGTTGGCATTTGGCGTCATCTTAGCGGGTTCGTCGCAACAGAAGCTACACATGTAGGATGCGAATGCTAATATGCCGGCATCAGCCTGCTGTACTTGGGGGATCCTGGGCATGCAGTACTTGTCAAGGTGGCTTGGAGGCTGAGTCTTTCAGATGCTTCTGTGGCAGTTCCTCTTTGGTTGCTAGGATGAGCAGAGTATTACGGGCTTGAGTAAGATATGATTCTGTGTTCTAGATGTCAGCCACGAGTCGGGATGAACCTGCGATGAATACCAGTCTCCCCCAAGCTTCATCAGCGTCATACTAAGGGAGGAGAGACATGAGCCTAAACGGCCACAACCAGCGACTGCAACACATTCAATCTTCAACACGAGGAGCAAAAGTTCCCGGCCGAGATGTTTCAACCGATCAGCATCGCACAGATACGAGATCTCGCAACCCCAGACCGTCAATCTCGATATCACGCAAGCTTACATGGCGCCTTCCCTTCGTGTTGGGAGACACCCAGGAACCTTTGCGATTGGTGCCCGCAGCCGTCAACTTGGCCAAACTTGTCACTTTCCCCCGCTAGCAGGATGATCTGCCACTTCTGTGATCCTTCGCGGAGCCAGAAACCACAGACAAGCACCGGATGTGCGGCGCTGCCAGTGTCGTCTTGGTGGACACATGGGATTTGCCCAACACCTTTCCCGCTCATCAGCCGCATGCGCTGTCTCAATCAGCTGCACACAACACCACCACCGGGCGACATTCCTGCCGCGAGCTTCGTGTTCTAATGGGGGTGGCAGCTGTGGGTGGGCAACGGCGAATGTCGGTCGTTGGGCATTCCAGCTGAATGCGGAATTGCGAGTGGGAATCGGGGCGATGATTTGCAACGCCTCGTAGTATGTGGTACCATTTCTGACTACTCCGTAGAGAGCCCTTCTCATGCCCCAAGACTCGGCGGGTGGGCATTCCAGAGGTCAGACAATTTGGTCGTTGTGGTGCCCTCTCCCTTTCCTCGATCGCGTTTCTCTCTGTGTTTCTCTGTCCCGCCCCTCCCTCGTTTGTGAAGCTCGAAGAAAACATCAGGCCATGTCGCGGAAATCTTTTCTTTTTCATCCTTGATTTAACCTCTGGTGACCTTCGAACATCTCGATATCGCAACATCGAGTCCCTTCATCGACGATGATGCAGTCAAAGAAGTCCGGATCTTACACGATACCGCTCGCCGAGCGGGTGGACGAGGCCGAGGAGGACCTCGAGTCCCTCGAATCGAATCCCAGATTCTGGGAACACAGGGACGGAAAGAAAAAGATTTGGATGTACGCTACAGCAGCAGCCATCCTCATCGTGACCAACTTCATCTCAGCGCGTATCGGTGCACATTTCGCCCCAGGGAAGGCGAATCTCGATGGCGCTTGTGCCGAGCATACTACACAATGGTCGCCTCTTCTGAAGGACGTGGACGTCAAGTATGAATGGAAAGAATTTAATGGGTCGTTTCTGCAGGAGGATGTCTACCGGAAAGAAGGCTCACCGGAGGTTGACGCCGCGTGGGAAGCTTTGGGAGTGGACTGTAAGTCTTTATTCCTTTCTTTCATAGGGACCGGGACACTGACAAAAGTAGACCGTGCCGGTGTGATTTCGATCGAGGACGGTCTAAAGAGCGGCATGGACATGTCGTTCGTTCAGAGATCCGAGAAGTATGGCGCAGGTTTCTTTGTCAACGTGGAAGGAATGCATCACCTCCATTGTCTCGTAAGCTGCTCCCTAAACTAGAAATTGATGAGGATCGAAGACTAATCGTTAATGCAGAACTTGGTACGAAAAGCGCTTTACTACAATTATGACTACTACAAGGGGATGGGAACCCATGCATTTGCGAACGACGACAACATTGTCAAGCTACATGTCTGTAAGTGACTTTTGATTTCCCTCCAGGATGCACATTGATAGATGACTTACTAATCTGTGGCAGCACATTGTCTTGATGCCGTCCGCCAGGTTCTCATGTGCAACTTCGACACCGGCGTCCTCGGCCAGGTCTGGGCGAACAACCCGCCTGCCCCCTTCCCCGACTTTCACACGAAGCACAAGTGCAAAAACTACGAGGCTATCAGAGAATGGTCTGAGAAGCTTCAGGTAAGGAATGATTTCTCGTTCTTGACAAGAGTTAGACTGACATTGCAAAGGCACCTCCGGTGGATGAACTCCCAGGGGACTACACTACTCCCCCAAAGCCAAGCGACATTATTCCTCAAACCCCGTAAGACTGTAAAAAAGAACATTCATCAATAATTCAAAGCAAGTTTTATTTTTATGTCAACAGTGTTGGCGATGAATAAGTTTATACACAGAAGTGATATCCATTGGTACCCATATTCAGTGATTCCTGCGACTTACTTCGGCAGCTCGTCTTCATGTGCGTTAACTACACATACTTGAATTCCTCGTCAACCAGCTTCTCACTCAAAATCCACAGCCTGTCTGCGTCGATCTTGTCCGTCGCCCAAGGATGCACCTCCTCGTTGTACTGGTCGGCGAGGCGGCAGTCATTGAAGTACTTGCCGTTCAACCCTATTTGCCTTCGTCAGCTACGGTACTCAGGCCAACAGAACTCCGTCCTGGTATTTTTCTCACCTTTGAGGTCAGGGCTGAAAGCCGTATAGATATGCGTCGCGACTCCTTGATCCGGCGTCTTGGGCTTGAACTCGGCCCACATGAGCTTGCTTCCCACTTTGATATCTTGTTCTCCTGCAGCGACTAGTTAGCAACTCTGGACTACGAACCAATCAGGAGTCAGCTCAACGTACTCAAAGAATCAAAATTCTCTAGATGAGTCCCCAGGTTGGTAAAAATGACACCGGGGTGCAGACTGAAGCTCAAGAGGCCCTTGCTACCCAACTTTTCGGCAAGCGATATAGCCATGAGGCAGTTGGCTGTCTTGGACTGCCCATAAGCGTGCCACTGGTTGTAGTGTTTGCCATTCTTGTAATCAAGTCAGTCCAATCCCAGTACAAGATGTCGAACAAGCAGCGTTGAACATACGTTAAAGTTGTAATCCGACCATCGGATATGACCCAGCCGGTGCCCATCACTGCTGACCGTCACAACCCTCGGCTCTGCAGCAGCCAGTACCTTTCCCATGATCAAATTCGTAAACAGGAAAGGGCCCAGGTGGTTCGTGCCAAATTGGCTCTCAAACCCATCTTCCGTCAACGAGAACGGCACGGCCATGATGCCCGCATTGTTCACCAGCACATCGATGTGCGGAACATCTTTCCATCCATTGACTGTCTCGGCTGCTTTGCGGACATTATTGAAAGATCCGAGATCGAGTTCCAGGGTCTTGATACAGACAGATGCGTTTGCTGCGGTGATGGCGTCTGCTGTTTGCTGGACTTTAGCGGTATTGCGGCTGGCGAGGATCAGTGTCGCCGGCGAGGCGGCGGCAACTGTTTCCGCGAAGGTGGCACCTAGTCCTCCGGGCGAAACACCTGTTACGAGAATCGTTTTGCCCTTAATCTGGTCTGCGTATACAGTGACGAGGTCGCTGCCGTTGGTATACTTGCTGAGTTGGGGGGCCATGTTATGTAGGAGTATGACGTTGTTGGTAGTTGGTAGTTGGTTGTTGGGAATTTGGGAGTGTGCTATGTGAGGTCCAGCTTGTTGTGATCTTTGATGTGGTCAATCAATGGATTTATCTGAGGCGGATTAAAGGTTTATATCCTTTGTAATAGCATATCTCAATTTTGGGCTGCAATGCAGGATCCTTAAACATGAACAAAGATGATGATGATACGCCTCATCGTCATCAAGTGGCTTACAACAACGCCATCTGCAAGAAAACGACAATCCGAGCCAATATGTAAGCCATGTTGTCAGATCATAGACCTCGCAAACGACTTTGAAAACACGGCTCGAACGGTTTTAGCCGGAGGTAATGTGCAATCCGCAAGGCTCTCGATCCCCTTGTGTTTGATATTGTTGATGGCGCATGTCTGGGAGGATCGACCTACCAACTAGCGTTGAGTGGAACGATGTCGGTCATCGGCGTTAGGCACCGTTGGACGTTGGTGTGATTCAAAGGATTCAGGGCATTCGAGACGTTTGCAGGCAGTTGGCTCGCCTATCGCCGATCGCCTGCTGCACTACCACTTCGGACTTTGAAGCCTGAATTATTAATTCAAGCGTCGAAACCGCCTCTCGCGCATGTTCCTACAGCAGTGTCTGAGAGACTGCAGTGTTCTCTGGCCGGACTTTGGAGATAGTTTGGCTTCCAGCCGACCATTTATTTCCTATGTAGGCCAGTGCAGCCTGAATATTAGAAAGCAACATCTGAGAGAAAGGTAGGCTACCAGCGCCCACTTACATCTCAGTCAACTTCTGCATGACATGATACAATTAAAGCAACCCCTGAAGGATCAGCGGCGCCATCATCGAATTCCCACTTCAAGCCCTGACACCCGTTATCAGCAACTGCTAAATTGCAACGTCACAACCTGCTTTCCCCTGCCGACTCCCGGACGCCGGCGGTCGACACATCGGGACAGGCGCCTCAGTAAAGTGGAGGACGCCCGCCGGCACTCATCTTGGCATTGCCGGACGCTGCCGGGATAAGTACCTAAGAGAGGTTCGGTGAACCCCCACACTCCCGTCACTGCCCCGAGCACTACCTACCCAAGCTGAAGCTGAGACATTTGACGATTGCGAAGCTCGTCGCGCAAGCGGCAGTCTAGTGCGACATACGCGTGGCCGGCCGAGTAGCGACCACTCGAAGAAAACCCTATCACAAGTAATTTGACGGTTGGGAAATCTTCTCGGCGTCAGCCTGTGCCGTAGCCAAGATGGTTGGCAGCCAACAAGCCGGGCACAATTGAGGGATCCTACCGCTGGGGCTCGCCCCATAACATGCATGGTCCTCTAAACACCATGGGTCCCTCAGCAAGACAGGCATGTTGGAACCAACAAAACGTGATTTTGAACGAGCAATTATTGGCCATCGCAGTCGAGAATCAGTTTCCGAGGAGGGCCCATCGGCCCCCTATCGTCTTGCAGGTATTATTCTGGGCCTTGGCAGGGATCCGGGCACCGCGGGAGGCGGGATGGCCAATGAAGCCTCCATCTCGGACCCGGCGGCTTCGTCGCACTTGGACTAATTGACGTGCCACGCTGCGCCGTCGTACCCAGACGGCTTGACCCGTTCTTGCCGTTCATAAAACAACGTCCGCCCGTCTGTGTTGCCCTTCGTGTGTGCGCGATTTCCTTGCTTTCTTTGGTCTTGCTCCCGCTTCCCGTCGAAATTGTGCCACTTGCTTCCTGGATCTTGTCTTGGGTGGGGGGATTCACCATGGGCTCTAACGACCGAACTCCACCCAACGCATGGGATTGAAAAGAGAAAAGAAGTCTCATTGTGGTATGCCTATGTTTGCTCTACGAGTCTCATAAGTTTGTACAACGGGAAAACGAATGTCTACAATGACACGACCACCCAAACGCCGATATGCAACCCAAACGCCCAATCGATCGCCGATACAGCCCGTCTACTCGTCTCTCGTGCAAAGCGACTCGATCCAACGCGCCAGCTGTACGCTCTTGACGTCGATTGTCCTCCAGAAGAGATCGCTGCCAATGATTGTGGGAACTCCAAGGACAATGATTCCGACCAGCCAGGCAAACAGCCGCCCAAACATGCCGGCGGTGTCTCTACCACCGACTATAGCCCATATGTACGGCATCCAGCGGTGGGAGAAGACGTCCAAGACGGGTCCGTGTACGAGGTAGAGCGCATAGCTGATATCGGCGAGATACTGCGCCAGGGGTGTCACGAAAAGGTTTTGGAGCATCTTGATCTGCTGCAGAGCGACGACGATTTGGATTGCGCCAAGCGCGTACCAGGGGAAGGAGACGAGGTCGCCACCCATGCCGAAGAAGGGCTCCATGGTGTTGTGCCAAAGTCTCGACATGCCTGGCGTAATATCGGCATGCTGATTCGGCCACCCCGCGACGAAGAGAGCAAAGACAAGGTTGCCAAGGAGGAAAGCCTTTAAAACGAGGGATCCGAAGGTGTTTGATGTTGACTCGGACGACACGGATGCTTCGATGTCGGCCGCCTCCTTGTCTTGCACAACGGTTGCGGCGCGCTCGCGGCGTGCCTCTTGGATGAGACCGATCTCGGCAATGCCCATGCCACCGACGAACTCGAAGGCTGCCCAGTGGCCGCACTTGAGGGAGTAAACCATGATGGCCAAGACCGAGGCCAGTCGCAAATATGTCTTCATGCGGCTCAGCCCAGTCAAAACCACAAAGAGCAGCAGCGAGTTAGAGAACTCGATGGGGATGGTCCAGAGATGGACATCGTAGGGCAAGAATTGGGTAATGTCCCACTTCCAACTAAAGGTAATCTGCCAGACCGCATTCTTCCAGTCAATCAACTGTTCCCATAGTGTGGGAAGCGGCTTTCCCGTCCATCCCAATCGAATCATGATCATGATGATGAATGTGGAGGCAGTCGTGGGGAGGAACAGGCGAAAGCCACGGCGGAACACGCTGCTGGACAGTGTGCGATGTAGTCCATCGTAGTCATGTTTCCTTGCCTGTTTGAGGGCCTTGAGGGAGAGGACGAAGCCGGAGATGACGAAGAAGATGTGGACCATGGGCCTGCCACAGTAGAGGACGCGCAGGAAGGGCAGCTGCATGGGTGACGATGTGGCATGGTCGTCCTCTTCCCTGATGCCGTAAGACTGAGAGTACCAGCCCACATGCTTCTCTGTGAAGTGACAGAAGAAGACAATCAGGGAGGCGACACCGCGCAGGCCATCAAGCCATGAGGTGGGGTATAAGCGTCGGTGCTTGAAATCGCTCGGTCGGAGTCGGCGCTGGACGAAGGACGGCAGGAGGAAAAAGAGTATGGCAGTTAGCCTGGCCAAGAAGGATTGCGACTGCGCAGGGGAACTGTTGGATCCACCAGGCGATGATGGCTCTGAGTTGGAGGTGGTCAAGAGGGAGTAGGAGTGGGAGCTTGGCGAGTAGCGAGCGACGGCGCCGCGAATGGAACGAATGACCAAGGGAATCATTGCGATTGCATGCCCGTCGAAGGATGGTGGCGAGGGATGTTGTCGGCGGTGGGATGGGTTGCGGCGTTGCGACTTTTGTTGTCCTCTTCCGGCTGGTCACCACCTGTGAATACCGCCGTCAAGGAGGGACAGGAGAGTTCTCGTGCCGCTTCGATTCGGTAGTACGAGTGTCGCAAGTGTCGTGGCTTGTGGAC